AATACACTTGTAATAATTCTTTTCTTTAATAAAACTCTAAATACTTAACCCAGAAATTATACTTTGTCTCTAAAATACATTTGATCGATAAACCTTCAGAAGCTCTCCATAAATCGTATCATAAATCTTAAAGCTAAATTCCTTGTTAATCTTGCGTTAATACTAATTTTCAGTCGTTAGTATCGTAAGATAACAATACATCTGAAGAAGACAATAATAGAGTCTTCGAAGATAATGATTTAGTATACTCCTCAGATGATTCAGATGAAGATTTTCAAGTAAATTTTATTGCACCGGAAATGAAATTAGAAGAAAATAATTTTAAGTGTGCCAAAAAAGGATTCAATAGCATTTTTTCGTGGATTGTTATATGGATTTTGAAGCATCAGGAGAGGTTTCGGCTATCTAATATGGCTACAAATTCTCTATTTAAGTTTTTTCGTTATGTTCTTACAAATGTAAACAAAAAATTATTCTCCACTTTCCCCGCTTCTCTTTATATGACGCAAAAGAATCTTGATATTCGTGCCTATCTAATTAATTATGCGAGCTGTGAAGAATGTTGTAAATTATATAAGATTGCTGAGGTGTCTAGTGATAATCCTAATATTACTCCTAAATTCACGAAATATGTATTCCAAGAATTTCCTGAACACCCTATGAGAAATAAAAGAAATGCTTGTGAAAACACTTTGTACAAACTTGTTCATACAAAAAAAGGTATAATCAAAAGGCCAACTTCAATATTTCCCACGATCAGCTTAAAGCACCAATTTAATCTCTTATTTAAGCGAAAAGGTTTTGAAGAATCTTGTAGAAAATGGGTTAATTGTCCTTCTGATTCAGAGATTCTTATCGATATATACGATGGAAGAATATAGAAATCTTTTAAAAATGAGGATGATTCGATCTTCTTTCAGCCAAACTTAGCGGATACACATATTGGAATAATGCTCAATATGAACTGGTTTCAGCCCTTTGAGAACTCTCAATATAGCACAGGAGCAATTTATGCTATATTATGTAATTTACCTCAGAATGAACGATTTAAGCCATCTAACATATTAACATTAGCATTAATTCCAAGTCTGAAGGAGCCAAAACTACATCAACTAAATCATTATTTAGCCTCTTTGATTGATCAGTTAATTGAGTTATGGCAAGGGATAGACTTACCAGAGACTTTCGAGCATCCTAATGGAAAAACAATTAAAGATGCTATTATTTGCTGTTCTTGTGACATACCTGCTGCAAGAAAACTCTGTGGGTATATATCCACAAGAATTGCATGTTACAGATGTCTTAAATGTGCTAATTTTGATGATAAAAATCAGCTAAACTTTGGAGGATTCGCTGATATGGATAGCTGGTTTGTAGAAAGAAACGTCAAAGATGTTAAAAACAATGCTTTCGAATGGAAAAATTGCAAATCAGAAGAACAAAGATGAAAGCATGTATCTGAAACCCTTGTACGATGGTCTGAAATACATCATTTATCTTACATTAATCCCATACGATTTCTAGTTATCGATCCTATGCACTGCCTTTTCCTTGGAATTGCAAAATGGATTGTGACGAGACTATGGATTGAAGAAAACAAGCTGATAACAGCCGATCTTACAGTTATGCAAAAGAGGGTAGACAAAATACAAGTGCCTACGGATATTGGTAGGCTTTCTAGAAGAATAAATATAGGGGAAGGCTTTTCTAGCTTCTCCGCCGATCAGTGGAAAACGTTTATATTAATATATGCGACAACCACTACTTGGGATCTTTTGGAAGAAGCTGACCAAAAAATCCTCGCTAACTTTATCCGTGCCTGCAGTATTTTGGTATGTAGATTAGTATCAAAAAATGATCTGATAGAAGCCCACCAACGTCTCATAGTAATGGTTAAAGAAATTGAACGAACCTATAGACCGAAGAAAATTACTTCCAATTTACATTTATGCATACATTTATGTGAATGCATGTTGAATTATGGACCCTTGTACACCTTTTGGTATTACTCTATGGAACGAATGAATGGATTGTTAGGTAATCATCGGTTTAATATAATTATTCGATACCAGCATTTACTAATATTTAAATATTTTTTTTAGGATTATTTCAAAATAGCCATAAAAGAATTGAGTCCGAACTTATGAAAATTATTCAAAATAATGCTCTTCTGGATAAATTAACATCTCGTGATAAACAAAATCAGCATTTTCAAGAAAATCTTGAAATACTAAAACTGAAAGATTCAGTTAGAAGTCTTTCAACGTATGATGAATATCCTGATGAAGAATATCGAACATTTCACTTATTATCAACAAAAATAGCAGAAGAAGGTGCGGCTTATGGTTTTGAATCATTTCCAGGTTCTTTTCTAGGTCCATTAAAAAAATGTAACATTGCAGCAAGAATTTCAGCAGTTATTGGCTGAATTTTATTGTAATGCGTACAATAAAGAATTTGTTACATTATCACGCATTCATAAGACTGCAGAATCTTCTATTCCTGTCGATCCGAATGTTAATCAATTTAGCCGATTAAGAATTAGAACAGAAATATTTGGGTCGACATTATCTTCTCGACATGCTAAATTGGCAAAAATATTGGCTCATTTCTTTATAGATGATAATACTTCTGACATATACCTTGGTCAAGTCCAGTTCTTTTTCGAACACACAGTTTATCTACCAGAACCTAAGAAACATTATTTAGCATTCGTGAGATGGTATGAGCCGGCCGAACACTACAGTACTAGATTCCATTGCAAAATAGATGACAATGATAAATCTTGCAATATAGAGTTATGGAAATCGAAATTTTACGAAGTGGGAAGAGATTGTATAATACCTATTCACAATATCTTATGTCGATTTATTTCAGGAAGCTTTAAAATCGGCAAAAGAATCCAAAAAAGTATATCACAGTTATACCGATCAATAGAAAATTTCATATTTAATTAATGGTATTTGATTTTTTTAAAATTTTCAAGAAAGAATAATCTTGCTATTTCTTTATTGTTTTAAATGATGTGTTACATTTTATTGTCTTACATCTATTTAATGTTATATTCGTATGAAATTTATCGATACTTGAAGTCTTGAACATAATTTTTTATTTTTTATTCACTTTTTATGTATTTTATCAATGAAACAATTAAAAAAAAAAGAACTTTTTTATTGAATTTTATTATTATTAGTTTTATTTTATTATAACTTCTATTACAATATTACAATAAATAAAGATAATCATATATACATAAAAGAAAAAAAATAAACTTAGAAAATATTTTTTATCCATAATAATTAATTTACCGATACTACAAACATATGACCAATCAGGTGTTCTGATAAAATTCCGGAACTTACCTGATTTTCCTTTGTAAATATTGGGTTCTATAATTAAATATCGAATGAAAATCATTATTCTAGTACTTACTTGATATGGCTATATCAAGTATCAGCGAATATCGATTCCTAATTTTCCCAATATTTGTTCGATACTTGATAGCCCGATATTTCTTCATTCGACCTGTGTATACTGTTAAGTTATATTTATCATTATATTGTTATTCATTTATTTACTTATGTTGTAATCCTGTACTAAATTCCTCCATTTTAACTCGCATTGGCGAGATGAATATGCTGTATTGAATCTTCGATTGATTCGTCCACCTTATTGCCTCTGTATCTTACATGGTACTCTATGTTTCTTCTCCTTCTTTTCTCGACTAATGAGTCAATTTCATTATCTTCCCAAATGATTCTTGTAGTCATTTTTGTGTTTGTAAAAAAATATGATT